ATGAGTCTCTGAAGTGTGTGTGTCTGCTTTACATCACATCCCTATGAGTCTCTGAAGTGTGTGTGTCTGCTTTACATCACATCCCTATGAGTATCTGAAGTGTGTGTGTCTGCTTTACATCACATCCCTATGAGTATCTGAAGTGTGTGTCTGCTGTCGTTACTCTGGTTTAACGGTTTCCACCTGTTTCTGCTGCTGTAGAGATCAAGTCTTTATGTATGAAAAGAGGGTGTGGTCCTGTGATGTCATCAATGTAAATGAGATATAGAATTAAAGCCTGTCCTCATTGGGAACCAACAGCTTGTGTCTGATTCATCTTCATAAGCACTAGATTATTCTAATGCCTGTCTGGGTCAAAACAAACATGAGTCTCGTTCAGCTTTCATTTATATCTACAGGACAGAATATTCTCTGTTGTCATGTATAATGTGTAAATGTTGTAGTGTAACTGTGTGAACGCTGTAAGGCGCTATTGCGTCACCATCTGTAATAGATAGACACACACGAGTAAAGCCAGTTCAGTTCAACCACATGCGGTTTACTGTCATCAATACATTACATGATGTCAGAAGTTATTAAAATGATAAATGATGGATCAGCTGAAGCCCCCGGGAGCTCTGTGCTTGGAAGGAAACCTAGCCGAGAACTGGAGAGGTTGGATCCAGCGATATGAACTGTGTCTTATCGCGAGTGGAATCTCAGAGAAATTGGAAAAAATAAACTGTAGCACTTTTCTGCACGTCGCAGGAGACAATGCAATCAAAGTATTCAACACGTTTACATTTGATGATGATGTTGACGACTTCGAGACATTAAAAGAGCTGTTTGCCAAATACTGCGAACCACGATAAAACCTGACACACCTGAGACGTTTGTTCTTTATTAGAGCACAAGGCCAAACAGAGTCGATTGATGCTTATGTGAGTTAACTTAAAGTCCCCGTGAACCGGAAGTTGCAAACGACTTTTCTCCAGTGTTGTGACGTATTTCCGAGAGAAACGGAATACTAAATGAGGCAAAATAGTGGGCGTGGCTTTTTTCCAACTAGCACCTGATTGGATCTAGAAAAGTAGGTGTTTTCATTCAGCCTGTCTACTGTCAGTTGGAGGGGCGTGGTTACGGATGTTAAGCAGACACCCAAACCGTCACACCTACGTCATCAGGGAAGGTCCTCCAAGGCAGAGGGGAGGGGAAATTTCAGATTTTGATTAAAGATTACGAAGCCAAAAAAGTTTTTTGTGTGGATTGACTTGCATGGATGAATTGTTCACCACAAAACGATCAATTTAGGCAAACAAAGTAAGTATGGTCAATTTTGAATTCATGGGGACTTAGAATAAAGCGAAGGAAAGACACACATTAAAGCTAGACTAAAAACACATCTCTTTGGCCTAGCATACACATAACACACTATAGACTTCTATAATTCAATGTTAGGCTGCATAGATTAGGTCAGCCGGAACCGGGAACACTTCCCATAAATCCTGATGTACTCGTTACATCATAAGAAGAATGGCATCTACGCTAATATTAGTCTCTCTGTTTATCCCGAGGATTACCGCAGTCCGCCGGATCCAGGCCGTATCCAGATCTGATGAAGGATAGTGATGTGTCGTTCATGAACGATTCGTTCATTTTGAACAAATCTTTAATATGACATGGGACTACCGAGTTGTCTCACAGAGTGATTTGTTTATTTTGTGTTGACCGCGCATGCGCATTGCGCTACATATGGGTTCTGAATCTGTACTGGAAACAGAAATGATTAGTTCATCGAGTCTTCGGGTTCGGCCGGGTCTCTCTCGAGTCGACTAAGATGAACTCTACTCATTTCTCTTTGACAGCATAGCCTCTATGGGACTGACAGGAAGAACCCGAAGACTCGAGACTCGATGAACTAATGATTTCTCTTTCCGGATCTGGACCGGTACTTCAGTGTATCGTGGCTGTGTCACACCGTACGGCCCACAGACACTGACGAGTCGACATCGATCGACAACTAACGTTTTGAAGTTCGAACCTGAAGACACAAGAGGCGGAGAACAGACGTGATAAATATGAAGTTGCAAAAAGAAAGAACGTCTCGGGTCAGGAAGTGAGGTAAACTAACAGACTGCAATAGCTTGAACTTAAGACCCAACTAATAAATTAACATTTAGTTTTTCTTTATAATTTGACTTTGGCTGCATTGCCCTATAGTTTATTTTTATTTTTCAAATGGAATCAAAATTTTCGTAAGTAGGCTACTAGATGTTTTGGGCTATTTAACATGACATTTTAATTATATTCTGCTTAAATGAACAAAATGAACGTAATGACTCGAAAAAAGATTCGTTCATTTTGCTGAACGAGACTCAAAGATCCGAGTCAGTAAAATGATCCGAACTTCCCACTACTAATGAAGGACCTGCGTCTGGACACACTCCACATCCACATCCACACACACACACACACACACACACACACACCAGATCACCAGATCACGACAACGCAGTCATCCCCGGACCTCGCCCCCCCCCCCCCAAAACAGTAAAACTACATATTTTAGAGTGGCCTTTTATTGTGGCCAGCCTAAGTAAAAGCTGATTAGACAGCCTGCAATAATCCTGCTGTCTAATCAGCATCTTGATATCCCACACCTGTGAGGGGGATGGATTATCTCGGCAAAGGAGAAGTGCTCACTAACACAGATTTAGACAGATTTGTGAACAATATTTGAGAGAAATAGGCTTTTTGTGAACATAGAAAAAGTATTAGATCTTTGAATTCAGCTCATGAAAAATGGGGGCAAAAACAAAAGTGTTGCGTTTATAATTTTGTTCAGTGTAGGTTCGAAGATGCAAACGATTATCCATTATCTCTGCGCAAACCTCAAAAACGCAAACCCGCGAAATCGCAGACGGAGCGAACATGCGCATCATGTGTTCAGTCCATAGGTGTGTGTGTTTGATTATATATGTGTGCAGGCGTGTAGTCCTTCTTCCCAAATCAACCCTCAACAAACTACTTGTCTGGTCTTAAAAAATTATAACACAGACATTTTTGTTGTGTCTGCCAAGCCACGCGAACCGGAATTATCCCGACAACGTTTTATCTGCAGTTTAAATGAGGGTGACTTGACTTGATTGTGAATTTGGAGAACTTACCGAGTCACTGAAAAGGGACTGAATTGTTTGTGGTATTACAAATGACCAGATCAGATGCAGGTTCGGGAACCCGATTTAACCCTACGTAGGTCATCAATAAAATCAATACATTACAGCAAATGCTTCATCCTCTGTGGCCACCTTACATTATGGTCTCCCTCAAGGCTCTATTCTAAGTCCTACATGGTTTTCTTTGTACATGTGTCCTCTGGGTTCTATTTGTCGTCGCTTTTGACATTTCCTATCATATGTACGGAGATGACACACAGATTTTGATCTAGCTCTCAAAGTCGGGAACGAGCAATCCCTCAAGTCCTTGTTGGAAAGTTTGGCTGTCTAAAGACTTTCTTCAACTTAATGAAAAAAAGTCTGAAATTATAACATTTGGTCCACCAAAATTCAAAGAGGAGAGAGCCAGTACTCTTGTTCCATTAGAAATTACGGTAAAAGATATTGTGAGAAATCTTGGTGTAATAATTGCCGTAAAATTGGCGTAAAAAGGCTTCTGACTGGCACTGAAAACAGGGACCACATTACTCCAGTATTATCCTCTCTTCATGGCTGCCGGTTCAGGACAGGATCGATTATAAGATTTTATGAATGTTTTTTAAAGCACTGCATAACATATCCCCAAATTACATTGCGACCTTTAAGGATCTTACATATCATGTAGGACATTAGGATCAACGAACCAACTTTTGCTTGCTGTCCCTTATTCTAAAAAGAAGTCAAAGGGTGACCGAGTTTTTTCAGTTGTGGAACAGTCTTCCCCTTCATAAATGTTTTTATATAAGCATGTTTTATTGATTTTAGTTAACTGTGAAGCACTTTGGGCAACAACGTTGCTATGAAATGTGCTATATAAATAAATAAAAGTTGAAGTTGAAGCTTTACAACAGCAGGAAAACACTGTCGAGAGAATCAAATCTGACATCAGTGACCGACTTATATTATGAACCATATTTACTGTTACTGGATTCATCGAGCCGCTGTTCAGAGAGTTTACATTGTTGCATTACGTTTTACACATGTTATTTCTGTTATTAATGAAGTCAGGTTCTGTGTTTACCTGCTCTCAGCTCATGATTAACCACAACCAGTCGGTAATCCGTGTCAAAGCTGGATAATATCTGCTGATAAAGCCTTTGACCTTGACAGTCTCAGCCAATCATAGCGCAGCACAAGCGCGTTCATCGACTCTTCGGTCTTCATGATTCACTCATTACTGAAGATCTAGAGGAGAGACACAGTCCGAGCTTCATCCGGGCCTGTGAACACACTCATCCGGTGAGTATCAGCTCCCCATTTTCACAGTGCTCCTGTGTTTGACATGTCTATCTGTACATTTAAAGTAGGCCTCTATAAATAGATGTTATAAAAGCAAGTCTTCTGAGCTCATTGAATATGTGTGTGCTGTGAAACTATCAAGATATATCATGACTTGTAAGAAATCCTCTAAAGTCCCCTGTGGTGAAATCCAGCGTTTAATGTTGTTTATGTGTCTATGACAAACCATGTGTAAATTCACAAGTCGACAGCATTGCTGAGTATTTTCTGCTTAAAACTGCAGTGAACCAAAGACAGTCTCAAAAACACGCTGGTGTTTCTGACGTCACAAACGACCTTGTAACCAATCAGATCAACGTGTGATCGTCAACCAGTGGATCTCTGAGCTGAGTGAGTGGAGGCGGGGCTCATTTGCATAGTCATATGCATACTAAATGAGGCGAGGGTGTCGAGTTACAATCAAGATATTTTAAGAAATGAGGAATTTTTTTTCACAGGAATAAACGTTAATTTAATTTTGGTGATTACATTTTTTTTAAGGGATACAATTATTGACCACAGGGGGACCTTAAACACTGAGATGTGCTAAACTCCTTGATGAAGTTTTCGCCGTTCGAGGGTGATGTCGGTCCCGAGCGAGACGCCTCTACTGCCCCCCGCAGGCCAGGAGGAGGTTTTCTTCAAGACTTACATCCCACCCGCTCGAGACGCCATTCATCTGCCCATTCACATCTTCTACATCATCCTCGCTTCCATCGTGATAGTGACCACGCTCTACGCCATCATCGGACACCTCATGAAGGACCTGCTCCACGACCTGGCAGGTGAGCGTTCACATCTATACTTCTGATGCCTTTACTGACACGTTTCAGGGTCAGAGGTGAGAGGTCAGCTGTCCTGGCTCCTGTCCAGGGTGAGAGGTCAGCTTATCCTGGCTCCTGGTCGGGGTCATAGGTCAGCTTGTCCCGGCTCCTGGTCGGGGTCAGAGGTCAGCTGTCCCGGCTCCTGTCCAGGGTCATAGGTCAGCTTGTCCTGGCTCCTGGTCGGGGTCATAGGTCAGCTTTCCCGGCTCCTGGTCGGGGTCAGAGGTCAGCTTGTCCCAGCTCCTGGTCGGGGTCAGAGGTCAGCTGTCCCGGCTCCTGGTCGGGGTCAGAGGTCAGCTGTCCCGGCTCCTGGTCGGGGTCAGAGGTCAGCTTGTCCTGGCTCCTGGTCGGGGTCATAGGTCAGCTTGTCCCGGCTGCTGGTCAGGGTCAGAGGTCAGCTGTCCCGGCTCCTGGCCGAGGTCAGAGGTCAGCTGTCCCGGCTCCTGTCCAGGGTCAGAGATTAGCTTATCCTGGCTCCTGGTCGGGGTCATAGGTCAGCTTTCCCGGCTCCTGGTCGGGGTCAGAGGTCAGCTTGTCCCGGCTCCTGGTCGGGGTCAGAGGTCAGCTGTCCCGGCTCCTGGTCAGGGTCAGAGGTCAGCTGTCCTGGCTCCTGGTCGGGGTCAGAGGTCAGTTGTTCCGGCTCCTGGCCGGGGTCAGAGGTCAGAGGTCAGCTGTCCCGGTTTGTCTCCTCAGACTGCCTGTTCGGGCCTCAGCCGGAGGAAGAGGAGATCAACCTGTGCGAGAACAAAGACAAGTTCATGGTGGACTGGTGTCCAGAGAGCAGCCCGGAGCTGGAGGAGCTGGCCCGCGCCGAGGAGATCCGTGTGCTGATGGAGGGAGGCTGCTTCACCCCGGCCGTCTGGGTCATCTCTGACGGCACCGAGCCCAGAGCGCCCCGGACCGGCCCGCGGGTCGCCTTCGGGAAGAACGTGTAGAGTCCGATACAGCGGGAGATGCTCACGGGATATATTATACTGATGGGTTCTGCTCCGGTTTAGTGGAGCTGTCGGGACGCCCTGCTGGTCTCCGCCAGTACTGCATCCTTTGCAACAGTGGTTTTCATGGATCCTGGTTCTGGAGACCTAAAAGTCTGGCGACCTAAAAGTCTAAAACAAGAAGATCCCCAGACAGCAACATAGTGTCGGCCCAGATCCGGCCCACATCTGGCACGCGTTGAATCCACATGTACCAGATGTGGGCCGGATCTGGGCCGACACTGGCTACGTTTACATGGAACCAAATAATCCGTTAGTAATGTATTGACGGCTCAATCGCACTGAAAAGCCTTCATGTAAAACACCTTAATCGACCCGATTGAGCTCGATCCCAATGAGATTTCGATCAGATTGAAAGTTGTGTTTTTTCCTTTTCTAATCCGATCGAGAGAACATGTGAACACTTGATCGGACTGTCTCTGCGTGTGTGAAGTGGAGCCGGATGACGGCCACCAGACTCTCACACACACACCACTGGGTTTGGGCAGTTTTACTGTGTGATCAATATAAGCAGCGGCACAGCGGCTCATACGCTCATCTACTCCTAATCATGACCAGAAATGGATAAATATTAAGTCTGCTGTTTAAAACAAATAAAGAACCAATGTAGGAGAATGGTTATTATTAACATCGGAAGCTCTGTATATTCGTGCAGTGAGCGCATGTCAAACAATCAATACTGATTTGAAGCTTGTGACGTATAAACACACACATCAACCCGATCACATCTTCAGTGTTCATGATAACATACATTCAGATTCATCAAACCCTATCCCAGATTCATCAATCGGAATGAATTCAGTCCGATTGAAACTAAAGTTGTGCATGTAAACGCAGCCACTGTGTTGCTGTCTGGGTCTGTTCTCTGATGATTAAAACAATAAAAAAATATACATTTGATTCAAATCTTTTATTCAAATCAATATGTTTAAAAGAATGTGTAACAGTTTGACTCCCCATGCAAAAATAAGAAAAAGTCACAGTGAGCTTTGATTTTGTGAAGTTTAAGAGTGACTCTGGATTCGAGCATCACGTCGAGACTGGAACCGGCACAGCAGAACCGGATTAAAAATGACCCGAATTTGTGTGGAATTTGCAGTGACGTGTCCAATGCAGGAATGTGCTTGAATCGAATTTAAGGAAGGAGAATTAAAACAGAGTGAAATTCATCGAGATGCAGTTGTGTGCCGATACATTTCATCTTTTCAAATATTAATAAACATATGAAGAATTTCCAAAAACATGACATGATATTCAGTGATTTAAGTAATGATTGATGCCTGAAAATCAGCATGCCATTTATATATTTCATTATAGGTTATTTAATAAATAAACTTTCAATGAATGTGTGAATTTACTTAATATTAAGCTATATAATCAAATCAGAATTTTAATGTGATGTCACTGTGTTGAATTTAGTAAACTCCTCTTCCTGTCATTCCAGTTCAACTTCCTGTGTGAGTGTGATCATGTGACCAGTTCGATCAAATTCACTCTAATTAACCAAAAGGTTAATAGAATCTGAAGTGAGGATAAGCATCATGTTTTTGTTTGTTTGTTTCAATTGCAGAACAGCATAATTGTTTTAAGAACAGTCAGACTCTCCGCACATTATTTGTGACTACATGATAAATGCTTATCCAAGGTAGAAAACCTCAATAAATATTAGAGAAATTTACAAGCCTGAAAAGGCAATTTCTTTAGTGAATATAAATGTTTCTAGTTTTGCTCAGTTATTTCACCGACCAGAAATCGCTGTTTGTGGCTAAAAATCAAAACGGCGAGTAAATGTAAAGGATCTTAATCGCGTTGATCAGTGCACAGTTGCGCATGCGCACTGCAGCTGATGTTCTGATGCCTTCTCTCGGCTCCGGTTCGGCTGAGGTTCGGCTGATGTGGGTCAAATGTAACCAGAGGAAGATTCATTCGGGCTCGTGCATGTAGGACAGACACACAGAACCGAGCGGGCGCGCGCAGCATCTGTCCTCGTGCACGCGCACAGAATGCCGAACGAGCATCACCTTTGTCGTCGGTTCTGCCCTGAGGAATAACGGGAATAACGACACACCGACAGATGGAGGAATGATCGGTACCGGCCCGGTGTTTGACCATGAGCTGGACCGACGGCGCGGAGAGCGCGTGCAGGTGAGAATGCGCGTGAACACATTGATCCGCAGTGATTCTTTATATCGCACGGGCCTTTATTCTTTATATCAGCGCAGTTTATTTGACATCAGGACTAATATTCAGATTCAAGAGCTTCATCCATCAGTGGCTGCAGATGAAACAGTGATGTGTCCGCATTATGGGACCCAGGAATAGACTTGTGTCCTCTGTAGTGGACATATATTCCAGTGAGTGACTGTGATATCGTGTCTCAGTTGTAAGACTGGATGTCCTGTGAAGACAAGAGCAGATTTAGGGCTTTTCAGAGATACCAAATGTTCGGAAGTTTCACAATGACAACTGCCTCTCCTTTAAAAACTGACATTCATTTAGTGATCAAATGTAACACTCTAATGAAAATATGATAATGTTTGTATCATTTAAATCTGACACATTTTTTAATTGTTTGTCATAAATAGACACCTAAGGAAACTTTTATAAGGTTTCAAATCAAAATATGATGTTACGAAACAAGACATTGATTTCACACATGTACACTGTCACTGTAGAGGACACCGGGACTAAAGCATGTTTAGCAGGCATCAGGGGACACACTAGTGAATAGGGAAATAAATTATATTTCAATATTCCTATATGAAATATTACATACTATCATGAAAATCTTGTCAATTACTTCTCCCATTATTACGCTTCTTTTTTCATTACGGGTTGCCCCAAAAAGACATTAATATGCTAATTAGATTCAATGTATGTATATATTTTATCAAATGGGAAAACCCGCTTATGGCCATTTTACACACATATTGCTATATCAAATCATTCTGTTATATCTTTCATAACATAGTTTTCATAACATATACAAAGTTTGGTACATAAAATCCTAAAACCTAAAAATTGATTGGTGATTTAAAAAAAAGACATTGTATTTGCCTATACATGTCTATTCATGTCTTTTTATTTAAAAAAAAATGTGGTCCTGTGCTCTAGACCCGAGAACGAGTGTCGCCGCGACCCGGCGCTGAAGAGCTCAGACCCAGTGCTGGAGTTCAGATGGAGATACTGCTGAGATCTCTGAGATCGAGAGCTCTGCTTCCCACACTGAGACCCAGTGCTGGAGTTCAGATGGAGATACTGCTGAGATCTCTGAGATCGAGAGCTGTGCTTCCCACACTGAGTCCCAGTGCTGGAGTTCAGATGGAGATACTGCTGAGATCTCAGAGATCGAGAGCTGTGCTTCCCACACTGAGACCCAGTGCTGGAGTTCAGATGGAGATACTGCTGAGATCTCTGAGATCGAGAGCTCTGCTTCCCACACTGAGTCCCAGTGCTGGAGTTCAGATGGAGATACTGCTGAGATCTCTGAGATCGAGAGCTGTGCTTCCCACACTGAGTCCCAGTGCTGGAGTTCAGATGGAGATACTGCTGAGATCTCAGAGATCGAGAGCTGTGCTCCCACACTGAGACCCAGTGCTGGAGTTCAGATGGAGATACTGCTGAGATCTCAGAGATCGAGAGCTGTGCTCCCACACTGAGTCCCAGTGCTGGAGTTCAGATGGAGATACTGCTGAGATCTCTGAGATCGAGAGCTCTGCTTCCCACACTGAGTCCCAGTGCTGGAGTTCAGATGGAGATACTGCTGAGATCTCTGAGATCGAGAGTTGTGCTTCCCACACTGAGACCCAGTGCTGGAGTTCAGATGGAGAGACTGCTGAGATCTCTGAGATCGAGAGCTGTGCTCCCACACTGAGACCCAGTGCTGGAGTTCAGATGGAGATACTGCTGAGATCTCAGAGATCGAGAGCTGTGCTCCCACACTGAGTCCCAGTGCTGGAGTTCAGATGGAGATACTGCTGAGATCTCTGAGATCGAGAGCTCTGCTTCCCACACTGAGTCCCAGTGCTGGAGTTCAGATGGAGATACTGCTGAGATCTCAGAGATCGAGAGCTGTGCTTCCCACACTGAGACCCAGTGCTGGAGTTCAGATGGAGAGACTGCTGAGATCTCTGAGATCGAGAGCTGTGCTCCCACACTGAGACCCAGTGCTGGAGTTCAGATGGAGATACTGCTGAGATCTCAGAGATCGAGAGCTGTGCTCCCACACTGAGTCCCAGTGCTGGAGTTCAGATGGAGATACTGCTGAGATCTCAGAGATCGAGAGCTGTGCTTCCCACACTGAGTCCCAGTGCTGGAGTTCAGATGGAGAGACTGCGGAGATCTCAGAGATCGAGAGCTGTGCTTCCCACACTGAGTCCCAGTGCTGGAGTTCAGATGGAGATACTGCTGAGATCTCTGAGATCGAGAGCTGTGCTTCCCACACTGAGACCCAGTGCTGGAGTTCAGATGGAGATACTGCGGAGATCTCAGAGATCGAGAGCTGTGCTTCCCACACTGAGTCCCAGTGCTGGAGTTCAGATGGAGATACTGCTGAGATCTCTGAGATCGAGAGCTGTGCTTCCCACACTGAGACCCAGTGCTGGAGTTCAGATGGAGCTACTGCTGAGATCTCTGAGATCGAGAGCTGTGCTCCCACACTGAGTCCCAGTGCTGGAGTTCAGATAGAGATACTGCTGAGATCTCTGAGATCGAGAGCTGTGCTTCCCACACTGAGTCCCAGTGCTGGAGTTCAGATGGAGATACTGCTGAGATCTCAGAGATCGAGTGCTGTGCTTCCCACACTGAGTCCCAGTGCTGGAGTTCAGATGGAGATACTGCTGAGATCTCTGAGATCGAGAGCTGTGCTTCCCACACTGAGTCCCAGTGCTGGAGTTCAGATGGAGATACTGCTGAGATCTCTGAGATCGAGAGCTGTGCTTCCCATACTGAGACACAGTGCTGGAGTTCAGATGGAGATACTGCTGAGATCTCAGAGATCGAGAGCTGTGCTTCCCACACTGAGACCCAGTGCTGGAGTTCAGATGGAGATACTGCTGAGATCTCTGAGATCGAGAGCTGTGCTTCCCACACTGAGTCCCAGTGCTGGAGTTCAGATGGAGATACTGCTGAGATCTCTGAGATCGAGAGCTGTGCTTCCCACACTGAGTCCCAGTGCTGGAGTTCAGATGGAGATACTGCTGAGATCTCTGAGATCGAGAGCTGTGCTTCCCACACTGAGTCCCAGTGCTGGAGTTCAGATGGAGATACTGCTGAGATCTCTGAGATCGAGAGCTGTGCTTCCCACACTGAGTCCCAGTGCTGGAGTTCAGATAGAGATACTGCTGAGATCTCTGAGATCGAGAGCTGTGCTTCCCATACTGAGTCCCAGTGCTGGAGTTCAGATGGAGATACTGCTGAGATCTCAGAGATCGAGAGCTGTGCTTCCCACACTGAGTCCCAGTGCTGGAGTTCAGATGGAGATACTGCTGAGATCTCAGAGATCGAGAGCTGTGCTTCCCACACTGAGTCCCAGTGCTGGAGTTCAGATGGAGATACTGCTGAGATCTCAGAGATCGAGAGCTGTGCTTCCCACACTGAGTCCCAGTGCTGGAGTTCAGATGGAGATACTGCTGAGATCTCTGAGATCGAGAGCTGTGCTTCCCATACTGAGTCCCAGTGCTGGAGTTCAGATAGAGATACTGCTGAGATCTCTGAGATCGAGAGCTGTGCTTCCCATACTGAGTCCCAGTGCTGGAGTTCAGATGGAGATACTGCTGAGATCTCTGAGATCGAGAGCTGTGCTTCCCATACTGAGTCCCAGTGCTGGAGTTCAGATGGAGATACTGCTGAGATCTCTGAGATCGAGAGCTCTGCTTCCCACACTGAGTCCCAGTGCTGGAGTTCAGATGGAGATACTGCTGAGTTCTCAGAGATCGAGGGCTGTGCTCCCACACTGAGTCCCAGTGCTGGAGTTCAGATGGAGATACTGCTGAGATCTCTGAGATCGAGAGCTGTGCTTCCCACACTGAGACCCAGTGCTGGAGTTCAGATGGAGATACTGCTGAGATCTCTGAGATCGAGAGCTGTGCTTCCCATACTGAGTCCCAGTGCTGGAGTTCAGATGGAGATACTGCTGAGATCTCTGAGATCGAGAGCTGTGCTTCCCACACTGAGACCCAGTGCTGGAGTTCAGATAGAGATACTGCTGAGATCTCTGAGATCGAGAGCTGTGCTTCCCACACTGAGTCCCAGTGCTGGAGTTCAGATGGAGATACTGCTGAGATCTCTGAGATCGAGAGCTGTGCTTCCCACACTGAGTCCCAGTGCTGGAGTTCAGATGGAGATACTGCTGAGATCTCTGAGATCGAGAGCTGTGCTTCCCACACTGAGACCCAGTGCTGGAGTTCAGATGGAGAGACTGCTGAGATCTCTGAGATCGAGAGCTGTGCTTCCCACACTGAGTCCCAGTGCTGGAGTTCAGATGGAGAGACTGCTGAGATCTCTGAGATCGAGAGCTGTGCTTCCCACACTGAGACCCAGTGCTGGAGTTCAGATGGAGATACTGCTGAGATCTCAGAGATCGAGAGCTGTGCTTCCCACACTGAGACCCAGTGCTGGAGTTCAGATGGAGATACTGCTGAGATCTCTGAGATCGAGAGCTGTGCTTCCCACACTGAGACCCAGTGCTGGAGTTCAGATGGAGATACTGCTGAGATCTCTGAGATCGAGAGCTGTGCTTCCCACACTGAGACCCAGTGCTGGAGTTCAGATGGAGATACTGCTGAGATCTCAGAGATCGAGAGCTGTGCTCCCACACTGAGTCCCAGTGCTGGAGTTCAGATGGAGATACTGCTGAGATCTCTGAGATCGAGAGCTGTGCTTCCCACACTGAGTCCCAGTGCTGGAGTTCAGATAGAGATACTGCTGAGATCTCTGAGATCGAGAGCTGTGCTTCCCATACTGAGTCCCAGTGCTGGAGTTCAGATGGAGATACTGCTGAGATCTCAGAGATCGAGAGCTGTGCTTCCCACACTGAGACCCAGTGCTGGAGTTCAGATGGAGATACTGCTGAGATCTCTGAGATCGAGAGCTGTGCTTCCCATACTGAGTCCCAGTGCTGGAGTTCAGATAGAGATACTGCTGAG